CCATTGATTTTGCTTGTAAAGCGGGAGAATGGCGCTAGGCTTACCGCACCGTGACGTCACAAAAATGGCCGCTCCCAGACTTGTTGAGCGCAACAAAATGATTATTTTTTACGCATTAGTTTTAGGTATAGATAATCATCTATTGATTAGTGCTGACAGGAACTCTGCAGGATGATTTATGTTGAACTAAACAGTTTGTTTAATTAAAGAATAAAATACCTAATTATTATTTCCAACCTTTACTTCTTCCATCACCTCATCTGTTGGTCTCTTTATGCAGGAGCGTTAAGCTCTAAGGCCTCACCTGATCTAAAGATTTTCCAGCGACGTCGATGCCGTTGACTTCCAGGATTTCGTCATTAACAGCCAGTAATCCGGTGCTCTCTGCTATCCCGGACCGAACTAAGCGAGAAATGAAGACTCCTGGAACCTGAAAGGACGAGGAAAAGAGCGTTAGAACAGGAGGATGTCCTGCTATGTGATTGGTGCAGAATGACACTGACAGCATCCAATAAAATCTACCGTTAATCACCACAGATAGACAAGTTAGCGCAGCTAGCAAGGAAGCATCTGACCCCATGAGCAAGGCAGCAGCTGGTTTCTGAACCGTTCCGTTTGATCCAAGAAGACTTTTTTAGGCTCTAGTAACCTTTATTTTATTATTTTTGAAAGCAGCCTGACAGGAAGTGGGGTTGGGGGGCAAAGGTCAACAGGCCGGGACTTGAACCGCGTGGAATTGAGGCTGATTTATGCTCAGAAACCAGGTCATCTGCGTGTGTGTCTGACCGCCATTGTGGGAAACGACTGGTGAAGATGGAGCAGCTAGAGCGAGGTACGCGAGAACGCTGGGACCCTTTTTCCACCTGGATCCCCGCTCTTTTTGGCCCTCATGGCCCTCCGTCGTCCCACACACTAGCCCCCACTTCTTTACCGCCTCGGCCGAATCTAGACCCACAGCTAGTTCCTGATTGGCCCTCTGGCGTTGTGGCGTGGAATAACATAGCGCAGACCACGCTTCAGTATTGGGCAGAAATCAAAAATATCTACGACACACTGCTGCAGGAGGAGAACCAGGCCTTTAACCATCGCCATTACATACGTATACGCCTCATTGGAGGCGTGTAGACATGCCTAGAGGGCGGCCATCTTGGATCAGACCACAGTTCAGATAGCTGCTGTCAGAATGAATAGAAGGATAGATCTCAGTTTAATGACATGAAAGATGGGTCAGAGATAATATTATTATAATCTCTCACATGTCACAACTCCATAAAAGACCAAAACATATTTTGAAATTATCATTCAGTCAGATTACACTGATTTATTCACATTAAAATCTATTTAAATTGAATTGAAACTGGATGAGATTTATGCAAAGTTATATATTATCTCCAGCTGCTCTGGGGGCACCCCAAGGCGACACCAGGCCAGCTCAGAGACTTAGTTGATAATTATTTCAATAATCAATTAATCTGATTAATTGCTTCAGTCAGGGTTAGATTCAGGGGGGAGGGAGACAAATGCTGACTGTTAGCCACTCGATCCATGTTTGAAAAACCTGGTTAGATGCTCGATTTTCATTGGGAAAAAGGCTTAATTCACATCCTGTACAGAATATAACGAGTTCTTCTCAGTGACAGCTAAGAAGGAACCAATCTCATCTCATCAGGAGGAGAAAGAGAAGAAGACGAAAAAAAATAGAAGAATACATTTTATTGCCTTTATATCAACACAAAATAAGGTGTATTTATATAAAACTGGAGTCATTTAGCTCCTTAATTAAGGAGATTGTTATGCTGTAGTTCACCATTGGTTCTTCTTAAATTGAGGCTCCACTGGGTTATTTACTGACGGTTTGTTGGTTAGAGTCCCCAGGAAGAGAAAAGGTCAGAGAAACGTAAAAGAGTCCATCCCCTCTGTCCATTCTATTCTATTAGGATGCGGCAGCAGAACCGTTATTCTTGAATTTAGGTTATTAAGCCAACAGGAAGTAAAAGCCTCACCTTCTCCACGCCCTGAGGCGTCACCCGCACGCTCACCCCGTCCCGGATGTAGAAGCCCAGGGGTTTATTAGAACCGTTCTTGTGGAGCCGAACCCGCCGGTGGGTCTCAGGTAAAATATCCACATCGATAATGGAGGAGATCTGTCTGAAGTCCTGCGGGGGGCCGATCATGATGCCCGACTTGTTCTTGGAGAGGGTGGTGCTAGAACCCGCTGGGCGCAGCCCTGGTAAGCCCAGTCCTTTCCTGCGCCTCTGGAGGGAGTTGGTGCAGTAAGCAGTGGACTCGCCCCCTAAACCAGAACACAGACAAGGGAGGAGAGAGTTGGGATTAAATAATCTCAGAAAATCCTGTCCTCCCACTTTAGTTTGTCAGATCAAACTGATTTTAACACTGCAATAGAAAACAACTTTTAAATGATCGACATAGAGTTACCTTAATCAGAACCTGCCCTACAAAATAAACGGCCTCAAGCAGCGCCGAACTAAAGACATCTCAGAATAGATGACATCATCCATCAGACCAAAGCCTGGTTTAAAGCAGATAGACACTCTGGTGCACCTCCGTATTTCCTATTTGGTACCCAATGACAGAAACTCTTGCTGTAGTGCCGTCCACAACGCCTGGCACACCTCGGACTCTATCCCAGACACCGTGCAGGATGCTAGTTTGTAGCTCTGTGCGACGGTCTGTTGGTTTGCAACCAAAGCCAAAACACGCAGCGTCATGGTCAGTCTTTGGGGAACACTCACAGGTGAACTGTGTGTCGTCCGGATGAGGGTTTGTAGATGGCGAACAAGCTCTTCAAACGAACACATGGACATCCACAATCCTAGCTAGTTCCTGATTGGCCCTCTGGCGTTGTGGCGTGGAATAACATAGCGCAGACCATGCTTCAATATTGGGCATAAATCAAAAAAATATGCATCATACCTCCGACAAGCTAACTGTGACACACTGCTCTGGGAGGATAACCAGGCCTTTAATGATCCACAAAAATTTTGATCAGCTGTTTGAGGGAAGCTGGAGTCTACAAAGATTGAACCTGTAGGGTTCAGAGATGGTCTACAAATGATTTCTACCTATAAATATCAGTAAATGAATCCAGAAGAACTCCAGTTATCAGCACAACTATAACTCAGCCTTTAGTGTTTATGGTTCAGTTTGAACTGAGGAAAAACAGGAATAATAGGAGATTTCTGAGGTAAATGATCAAATATCTTCTTGACAGGGTCTGCTCAGTGGAGCGGTGGCTTGCACTGCTGCCTTGCAGAAAGAAGGTTACAGGTTTGATTCCAGGCCCGGGGTCTTTTCTTCCTGCATGAAAGAAAAGAAACTAGTTTTAAACATTCAAAGGGAGTTTTTCCTCTCCACTGTCGCTACAAGCATGCTTAGTGTGAGGGATTGCTGAAGAGTCAATGAGTCGATGCAATCAGCTGGTTTTCCTTAGATAGAAAACTTTAAATCAATCTGACTGGATGATCTGGTGAACTGGAAAATGACCTGAGATGACATGATGTGAATTGGAGCTATAGAAATAAACTGAATAGAATTAAACCTAGAAGCACAGGATGCACCAGGAGAGCATTCTAAAAATTAAATAGATTAATTTAGTTATAAGATTTAATCTGAAACACTTTTAATAAGGAACCTAAAGAAAAAACATTACTGAAAAAAACAAAACAAAAAAAACAGACGATTTTAGGGACCAATAACAATCAGTAAGGATTAAACACTATGACATCCGTGGGATTATAAGGAAGCTTTCTCTCCAAACATTTGAGAATCGGTCAGATTGTAAAACTGCAGCTCAGGCACAGATTAACCCCTGACAGATTGAAACATTCTGTAATCCGTTTGTGTTGGTTCCCCGTCTCCTTTGCTATTCTGAGGCTAAATTACATTTAAAAGACCCTAAAGAATGCAGATTTTGACCCTGAATCTTTGGTATTGTTGTGGTATAAAATGATCTCATTTCATTGTGATAGAGTCTAACATCACCAAATTTCAGGTGATGCACCTCTGCATCAGAATTTACTGCAAATTTTATCCAGGTTTCACTTGAGGCTTCATCTAGTCATAGAGATAAACTAAATGCATGCCATGCATGATAGATACAGCAGCTGGTAGGAGCTGCAGCGGCTCTAAATATCTGCAGCTCTTTCTCAGTCCCTCTTATTGCTGTGGAGAAATTCTGGCCCCCTTTTCTTACAGCAGCTTTAGTTCATGGAGGTTAGCAGCTATTATTTCCCTGAACTGATTTCTTAAAGTTCCACCGCAGCATTTTAACCTGCTTTTTCAGTTGCAGATTTGCTGCTGTGTTTGGGATCATTATCCTGGTAATGACCCAGTTTCATGTGAGGCCACCCGCTTATGCAGATGATCTCATATTTACCTACATATTAACTCTCTGTGTTCAATATTATGTAGAGGCATTAGTTGTGATGAGTTGTTTGGTTTACTGTCAAAAGCTATAAGCAGCTCTACTCCCAGTCATGAGGCTGTTAAAGGAAAATTCCAATTTTTAACACTTTTAGCCCATTTTCTGTAGTGTCCAGGATGAAATCGAATGATCGACACCAAAATTTTGACAATTGGTCCTGTCTCTGCTATTTGGCTCATGCAGAATCCCCCCCTGGCTGCTTCAGAATGGCTTCCATAGTGCATGTCCGATAATGTCCTTAAAACAACCTTAAA